GTGAAAGGTGATGTGGATTTCAAGGCGAACTTTCTGAAGGAGACTGAAGGAAACAGCCGTAGTTAAATAGTCAAGGTCAAGCCTGCGTTGAAGAATCATTGGCGATGTGGGAGAGGGGGTATATTCGGTCTGGTGGAAGGGAATGTTGGGGTCAAAAGTGCACAGACAACGGTGGGCTGTACAGTGCGAATAAAAAGCACCTTTCGCGGTAGTCTGGCAAAATTCTTGAGCAAGCGGTTTTTGACAAACTATTACCAAACACTTTAATAACCCTTACCTGTTTCACTGGTTTATCACCCACTCGAGTTTATTATATACCATACAAAAAAACGCCACTAGAACATGGTTCTTTCTTTTCAACATCCGCGACCAAATTATTGTCTTCGCTGCTTTTTAATCTCTCTGAACCCATTTCCATCCTTAAAAGGCATCTATCCTTCTTCACACTACAGGCGAGAATTCCCTTTCCTTCAAATTTAAGGTAGTCCTCATTTGTTCTTCTATTTAGAGTCATGTAATGATTCCGTCAGCTAATCGCATGTTTGTTTGTTGTTAAAAAATCGCAGGCAAAAATAACTGCCATTGAACGGATGTTCATGAGGGATAAAATTGGCAATGGAGAAGAGGAATGTCCAAGTAGACGATAAGTGGTGCTTCCGGAGATGATAAATGAATTTAGGATGACGCTGGCGTATGAAATTGTGTTTTGAATCTTCAGGTTATACGCATCTTCTAGGCATCCTGCTTAAGTACAAATCTAAACGAATTTGCTAGTCACTTAGACTTCCAAGTATCGAACGTAGTTTGAGTTCTAAATATCCTAAAGCTTACCACGTTGATGGCAGCTCTCGTTCTGACTTTTTTGGCCATGTGGTACTGGCGCGATGTACGAGCGCGTCCAACTCTCCTCACATCCGTAAATCTTGTGTGATAAATGTGATACTACCATTTTCGCAACATGCTTATGGGATTCAAACGAAAACCATGAAATTTTGTGCCCCTGCCGGTAGGGCACCCAAATCATAACTTATTTGCCCATACTGCAAAACATCATTTATGGTTAGGTTATGGCGTGATCTATAGAACAAATGTAAACAAGAAGCCCTGCAAGCGAGAAAAGCGTTGACATGAGTGGGACGCGCATCGCGTCACATTGTCGTCAACATGTCAATGAACGCTAGCGAATCTATCGGTTTACAGGCTATAGCTGAGTCGCAAGAGGTCGTCGTTGCACGAGCGATTGAAATGAGGCACAACCCTCTTCTCATATCATCTCTTGCTGCGCACACAGCGAGCATTTTCTCCAAGGCAGGTCAGTATATTGTAATCTGGATGTTTGAATGTGGGCTAGTGCTTTCCTGTGAAAATTATACAAACTAATTTGCAACAAAAGTCATTATGATTTAGGCGAAGATCTTTCGTCACTCAAAGAAGACATATTCGGAAGATGGAGGCGTTATCTACAACTTAAGGAGCACTTATATCTTGCATACGCTTACGCTTTCCTTGGCGAATCTCTGCTCAAAGAGGATAAATGTGGCGAAGCAGTAAGGTAATCGCTGCTGCCTTCCAGAAACAAGAAAATAGAACAATTATTAATTAGAATGATTGAGAAAGGCTGCAGAACAGTGAAGCTGCGGGTGATGCCCTTATAAAGTGTAGCATGGGTCAGGCTTCAGATCGAATCCGGGTCGGGTGACTTAAACCTTTCACCCTTTCGGAGTCGGTTATTCAATATTAAACTCGTCAGTGAGAGTTGAATCGCGGGCTTGTACATTTTTCGGCTCCCGCATGTCTTTGCACGCACATGCCGAATCGCATGCAAATTGCCATTGCCTAATTTTAAACCTAATAGAACAAGTGGCAAATCGTGAAGAGGGGATAATCTAACACCTTAATGATTTACTTCACCGTTTTTCAATCTCGATGAGTTCGTTTAATCAATTTCAGAGCTTGCAAGGAAGGTGTTGCTGAGTACGAAATTTCTTGCGATTTTGCATCAAAATACAGTACTGCCCCAGGACCAGGTACTTGCTTTGATTTCTTTTGCAAGTCTGGATCTCTTTGAGATTGCTTTGAATTCCTTCTTCAGGTACTCGAATAAAGCCTCAAGAGCATTTGTTTTTCCGCAACGTTAAACCTCTACTTATACGCCACCTCGAAAAAGCTCAGCTCGTATGAAAATTGGATTAATTTATCATCAGCCGGTAATATTTTGTTGATATGTCAAAGATTTGCTGTCTCCTGCCCACATAGGTGGGCAGGAGACATCAAGATCGCTTGCACATTCCGTTTAGAAAAACGCTCTCCCGATTGTAGGCCCACGCGTTTCTCGTCTATTTTTTTTCTATTTTTTGGACCGTAGAGTTGAGTTGTCAGTCTGATAAACTTGTGCAAGCAAACGAGCATTGTGCATTCAACCTCACCTTTATCCATCTTTCCCCTTCTATGAGTTTTTTGGAACAATTGAGAATTTGCGTAACCGGCACTGCACATTTTGGTGGATGCGTGGCTTAGCTTATTGTTAGCTTATGTTTGCTCCTTAGTTCTCCCCAATGCTTGCTTTGCCTCACTTATCCCATTCGTGTAGCCGTCTACCCACGTAATCCTTTATGTGATGTCGTGACAGATCTACAGCTGATAATACGTAACAGCTTTGGGTAAAGTAAATACTTTGAATCAAGAACCGTGTTGAGAATCCTCGTTCATTTTTGCTTGTCCATTCAGGTTCCTGACGAGTGTCCGCAGTTGGATTCAGAACCAAATTATGGTGTTGCGAAAGCTGAACCATTCCTGTATCCAGCGCCAGCTGATGTAAGTACAATGTTGTCATTGTTTGATGCCATCTTGTCTTGCTAAAACGATGTGTAATCCTACTGTTGAAAAGTCAACTATGAACTCAAGAATGCAGTATGTTTTTTTGACGACTTATCCCATTCCTACATATTTCAGTGTTGGACTCCTGCAGTGTACGCATCATTCGATATAGGAAAAGCTACGATGCCTGACTTCTCAAAAATCAAGAAAGGAAAAAGTGAGCTCAAGCCTGTAAATGAAGAGAAGATTTACCAAACGGAAAGAGATGCAAGTAATTTCAGTGGATGTACCATTTCTTGAAGATTTATTGTACTCACTTCCATTTCCCTTTCTATAGTCGCTTGATCGATTCACTTCTTGTTTTGTTCTCTGATAATTGTACTTAATATTTCATATTTTTCAATAGAGTGAAGGGACATTAGAGAGTACTTGACCTTTGCGAGCGTCACCACAGCTGAAGCTATACTAATCGAGTCTCTCAAGGGTTTCTATGAGGTGGCGCTGCTACTCACTAAATCTATGAACGTTGCTTAAGGTGAGAGCTCTCACAAGCCCCACCATATTGGCCGATGTCAGACTTTGCGATT